TTTGCATCTCATTGTACTAACTTAAATTGCATATCACGGCAGACATCTCAAAATACATAGTCTTCTGGGGGCTAAGCATATATTAATACATTTTGGTAGAGAGGAATATAGGCCTACTGTCATATAGGTTATGTTATCGGGCATCCTTCTAATTCCCTTGAACAACCAAGATTGAACTTTTGAACTCTTTATAATTTCTATTATCTAGTCCAGTTGAAGTCCAGGGGAGGAAGCCCCATCATAGTAAAGAGGATACTAATGTGATGTGTGTAGTTCTTCATAGCCTGTTCATTTTGCTCTCAAAGTGCACGGAATTGATGGATTTTTAACAGAATGTAGAAAAAAATTTCTCCCGGGGGGACATGCCCCCGGACCCCCCCAAAGGGGCTGTGTTCCCCTTGGGGCTGAGCCCCCCTTGTTCTTGAAACCTAGTGACGCCCCTGGCTATTGTAGTTACTCAACATCATGACTACGGTGTGTGTACCAATTTTCATACACATACTCCGTCACTTGAGGCTAATGCTAGAGGTCGTTTTGGCATGACATCTTGCTTGTACTGTATCTCTGCTGAGGATTTTGGTCACTTTGAGGCACCGTCGTGCGTGTGCTACAAAATGCACGCACTACGACCTTAGGTCATTGCATTCTGTCATCACCACTAGATGGCACTAAATTTACGCACTGTGCTTGAACATAAAATAGAAATATAGTACAACAGATCACAAAACATAAAAAGTTTACAATAATACAAGTGGTACAAACGTGTTCTTTTAAAGGTTAAGTGTGAAGTAAACTTGGCCAACTATTGTTGAGTAACACTTACAGCTAAAACTATTACTGTATAAGCATACTTTGGTGCTTCCAAGCACTTCGAGAGACCGCTGTTTTCGCAACCATTTTGCTTTTGATAAAGGGTTTGCAAAAAGGACGGTGTGATAATCAAATAATTACTCTGGCTGTTGTTTCCAAAGACATTTGATTCAAAATATTATGCGTGAACATGGGTGGAATCCTGTATGAAAACATTCAAAATAAAGGAGTGCATGAATGGAATAATCTGTCATGGTTTACAATGAACAATGCTACAGAAGGTCTGCTGATATATTGTATAACGCAACAGAACTACCTTACCAATGACAATGTAGGACACCAACCCACTATGACACCTACTCCCAGTGCTAGCAGGAATTTATGGACCAATTAGATTATCCCATAGTGCGCAATATACAACATGGCACAACATCGAATTTCAAACAATAACAGTAGGCTAATAACCGCAGCCTATATAGCTTACTATTCTTCCGATCTCGGTGGTTCTCGTCTCTACTCCATGTCCGTCCGTTTGAGCACATTTTCCGCATCTGCACCTTGCTCAAACGTACATCTTGCCAACAACCTCCTCTTCCTGCAACTGTTCAAACACCTGGATCCCTTCAGATAAGTTTGAAACATCCCTTTCCAAATCGATTTCTTTCCATATTGAGCTGTGCCATTGTTTCAGTGGCGGATGCTAGTCTGTCAAGGAGGGGAAGCTCAATTTCGGCCTACATCATAAAATGTGTCCATTTATTTATACGTGGATTCTACTCTACGTTCCTTTTCAAGAAAATGATCTGTGACCATGTCATACCAACAAGGCGTCTTTTCCAGGGACTTAACTAGTGTCCTACAACTACAGCAACTACAATAAAACCCACCAGAAATGAAAGATTAATTTGTTGCTAGTCGTTTTCAACAAAGAGAGTGTCGCTCAGATGATAAGAAGTCTCCAGTTGAACTCAGAACAGAATGAGAATTGAAAAATGCTCCCAGATGACTACATCAAAAGATCGGTGATTGGCTCATTTTGCTGTCAATCAAAAAGAGATTCAGCCTCAGACAGATCATTCAATCATCATGCAGAAAAGCTCAGCGTCCGGGCCGGCCCATAAACCCCACTGTCTACGTTACTCCCAGAGACGCTGAGCGTCCGATGGGCGGGACAAAACCAGCATTTATCCAATGACTTGTCTCGTTTCAATGCATTGGGACACCCTACACTGAACTCTCTCGACGCCCAGCGTCCGCGCTGTAGACTCTTAGCGTCCACTCAGTTTAGAGCACAGTGAAGTAGTGATGGGAATTCCGGCTCTTTTGAGAGAGCCGGTTTGTTAAGAAACGATATCTTGTATCCTCATTTCTGTAATGCTGTGATGTGTTCTTTACGATTGAAACGTGCAACTGGGACATATTACTTGTTTATTTAGAACGGATCTGGCAACCCAAACCACTACGCCATATCCGGTCTGTATTCGGTGCAAAAATGTCTTTTTCCTGTTCAGTGGTGATGAGAAGCGGCTGCTCTCTGTGCAGTCGGCAAATAAACATGCCACGTGTTTGAGTTAAGTGAAGAAAATTCATCTCTCGTCATTATTTTCCCAAATATACCCCGACCGAAGCGCACATCTCAACAGGTTATGGGCCCAGGAGACGCAGCTGATGTTTGGGAGATAAAAGAGAAGCCAGTGGATCCAACTGTAGAGGAGCGGTGAGCTAACGTGGCTATCGCTAACCGGCTAAAAGAGCGGAGTAACGCTACAGCAAAATGGATCGAGAACGAGGTGCGGCAAGCAGGCCACTCCGACTGGCATTCGACGGAGATGAAGCTAAGTACGAAATATGGGAAACAAAAATGCTCGGACATTTTCATTTATTGGGACTGAAGAAGACGGTGCTAGGAGAGCCGGTGACAAGCCCCGAAAGAGAGACCGACGCACAGAAAAATGCCGACGCTTATGCTGAATTAATCCAAATGTTAGACGACAAAAGCCTCTCACTGATTATGAGGGACGCGCCTGATGATGGAAGAAAGTCTCTGAAGATATTAAGAGAGTATTAT